ACATCCTAGACATCATGCCATACAACAAAGCTCTGAAGTTATTGTAGATACCCTGAACCAGGAAAGAAAAGTTGCAGAAAGTACATTTGAAAACTGATTAAGCAGCAGTTTAATATTCCTGGGAAATTAATGGATTTGCCTATACTGCAGTGCTTTAAAAATAGATTTGAAGAAAAAGGTCAGGAATGGTTGAGGGCCAAGTAATTTTTCCCTGAGACATGTAGATGGGCTGGAAGGTCCATCCATCCCCCATGATTTAGCTAATTTATTCTAATGTGGTACAAATCCATTTGATGGAAAAATCCTATGGTGGAAAGCAGACGAGAAGAATTTTCTCTTTTGCCTGGGTGGTGTCCAATAAATCAAATTGGAGCCTGGCACTGAACAGATTTTGAGCCTCTGGGTCTATATCTTTGCTGGCATTTTTAAGGAATGTATGGTTCCTGTGGCTCAGGATCAGTGGGGAACATTTGGCAGACGGAATAGTCCCTTGCTATTGTTCTGCTTTCTGTTTTACTTGATGCTTTGATTCCAGTTCATCCCAATATCCAGTCAAAAAGACTTCTTCAGGTCAAAGCAGCTGCCCACTTCTTTTTTCAGGCCAATTCTGCCACTTCCACCATGACTCAGAACATTTCAGGAGATATAAGACATTGTCCTTACAATCAAAGTATCTGAATGGTTTATCTTTTATCCTCCTCCTCTCAAATTCCACTTTAGATCAGGTCCTCCTGAGCACAACAAAATTAAAGAAGTCTGATTTTATGTCTAAAAAGGAGCAGAAATCACAGAATCAAATCAAAGAATCAATAAGGTTGGAAAAGACCTCTGTGGTCATCAAATCCAACCACCCACCCATCAATCTTCCCTCTATGGGGAAGGGTATCTCAGTTTCCACTCATTTGCCTATCTGCCCATTTTAATGAAACTTGTGGGAATTTAATAGATTGGAGACGTTCAGCACTTTCTTAAATGCAACTGAGATTGATGAAAGGGTTCAGCAGAGGGTGGGAAAAGATTGACATGCACATAGGCATAGAGTGATGATATAAGCCCCGCTTTTCCTTAGGAAAATGTGCTAAATGCTCTTCTACTAGAATAGAATTAGATTCTCCTACCAGAACAGACCCAGTCTCATCTGAAATGTGCTTCTACCCACACTGTCCTCCCCATCATTTATTTTACAAAATATGAGCAATGCTATGCCTCTGTGAGCCCATCTTGTGCAAAGTATTTTGTGAAAGGACGTCCTCTGCCCTCTGCAAAATAGTACCTACAAAAGTAATTTTGTTTTGGCTTGAAGAAAACCTTTCTTAACCCAGTTTATGGTGCTGCCTTTCCTTCAAGATGAAGAGAAAAAAAAAGCCAGGATACTGTTTCTCTAGGCAAGTGTAAGACAAGGGTTCTTCTTGTACTGAGGGATTTCTTGTCTGAGTAAGATGCTGCTTGTGGGGAGACAGGGTGTAGGGATCCTTAGGTTGGTGACTTTGGTCTTAATGGCACTAGCCATGTGTGCTGTGCCATTCTCACATGGGCAATGATTTTATGCAATCATTAAGGTTCGAAAAGACCTCTGGCATCATGAAGTCCAAACATCAACTCATCACAGCCATGCCCACTAACCATGTCCCTCAAAATCTAATCCAAAGAATAACAAACATAGGAGCCCACCACCCAGACTGGACTACCCTTGTTAAAAACCAAGAGTCTTGGAGGTACCATCCCAGCTACATCCTTAACCCCAAGGCATGGTTATTCCTCTTGCATGCTCCTGGGGTGGTGATGAAGAAAGGCTTTGCCTTCACTCCTCCTATGGTCCCAAATGGGGTCCCAGCTGGGGTCTTTTCATGCTCCCTAGACACTGAAGAGTGGATGGGAAGCAGAGCTGTATTATCCTTTTCTTATTTATTTCCTTTTGCATCACACTGGAGACAGGAGCTAACTATCTACAGGTGTTCTATGGAGGATTCTGGTTCCTTCAACTACTGCATAAATGTCTACTGAAAGGACTAATTCAGCACCTAAATTTGTTAATGGTTTTCCATTAGCAGAAGAGCCGATGAGTTCTCTATGGTTGTGTTTTTAAAGAGACAGCTCATGTGTAGATTCTTCCATGTCTAATAAAAGGTTGAGCTGATACAGCATTGAGCTTTGCATTGAGCATTGAGCATTCTGCTTCCATTAAACTTCAAAATATCTAGACTAAGTTATATCTCAAGTCTCTACAGCTGAGATGGAGGAGGTACTGATGAGACAACCAAAGGAACATCAACTGTATCATACAAAATACCCTTTAATACCTGCCCAGCACCTCTGAGAAGCCTCCAGTTATGTTCCCTTGCCAGGTCTTCGGAAAGCAAAGAGGCATCCTGACATAAATCACAACCATTACATGGGATAACCAGATAAGGCAACTTGGTTGAGGTCTACTATACACCCAGCAAAAGACACAACCCATTAGGGCTATCTTGTAATTAGGATTTCTTCTCTTGTTGAACAGCCTGCAGCTTAAAAAGTCTCATTAGCCATGCAAACCAGTAATTGTGTTAAAACTCCTGGAGATGGCATTTTATGCTTGGGGACATGTATCACAAGCCCAAGAGCTAAATTACTCAGCTGATAAATAGTCTGTGGGGGTATTTAGGAATGAGAACTGATTTAAAGAAGCACGTTTGCAGATTACTCAAGCACAGAGAAACAACTGAGAGCACTCAGTGCATACATAGGTCCCGTTACTTAAAATCTGTAGTAGCTTCTCAGTGCTGATGTGATAAATATTCATTTTGTTTAATTAAAGTGGAAGCTGTGCTGCAGAAAGATGCAAAGCCGTGCACAGCCTAACACAGACTCTGCTGGCAGAGCCAGTTGCAGATGTTCTGATTACTCAGCCCATGCTATGCAGAGCTGGGAGGCTTTTCTCATCACTTATTCCCATTCAGGCAACAGTTGGTCAACAGTCAATGATTACTTCTTGCAAACTCATGACAGATAGAATAAGAAAGTCAAAACGTTTTGATATTTTCAGAAGAAAACGGAGCACATTCATTGCATTTTAATGTGACACCTCATGCTGAAATGCACCTGAGTGCTCATTTTTTAATAAAGTTCTTTTCATCCTTTCCTTAAATTGGAACAATATGCTTAACTTCAAATGAAACTGTTACTCGTTTCCAATCAGTGTTTCACTTTCATTAAAAAAAATATATATTTATAGCATTTCCAATTGGCTCCAAACACGTTCTCATGTTTGTCCAGCAAGCAAATACAAAGGCCATTCAACTTAACCATTTACAATCTTTCCAAAAAGAACTTCTCAATTCATGGATTTGCAGTGAACTTCACTGATTTCTCTGAATATCAGACCCACCTCCTGAGCTGTAAAATCACAGATTGGACTTTGCAGAAGTTTCTGTCCTCCTCCTAATCATTAAATGATTAGCTGACTTGAATCGGAAAACACAATTAATAAAAGGGAGGTGAAATCAAAGGCAGCATACTTTGTAGTCACAAAATAAATGAACTTTTGCTGTGTTTATATTATGCATATAATACGGCAGGAAGTGGAGATCAAAACTGTGTTTATAAAGAACTTGCAAGCTTGGAGGAAGAAAATGGGTTCAGAGGAGGAACTTAAGGAATAAAGCCTGGATTTTTAGCTGGCATAAATCAGCATTTTCCTTTTACTTCAGTGCAACAGTTGTGACTTACATCACTGCAGGAGCTGCTTCAAGGGTTTCAAAGCAGGACAGATAAGATTTAAAAAATATATTTTTGTCAGTGGAAAACACTACAGAAATCTCCCAATATTGAAAGGGGAACTGAGGTATCCTCAGATTTTGGGTTTCATAGCTGGAGAAGCTTAGCACAGCCGGAGCCAAACCACCAACATCCCTGCTCACACTGGGTGATCACTTAGCAGAGCTGAGAGTGTTTCCCTGCTCTGACACGAGAAGTGTGATGGATTGTGGACACAAAGATCCCACAGTGGGTGACAGACCTCCCTGCTTTGCTGAGCTCTGTGCAAAGCCCATTGTATACATTTGGAAGCTATTTTAACACTTTTGCTTTCTCCCCTGATTTAGCTACATCACTCCAGATGATTAATCTGATCCCTTGAGCTGATGATTGCTGTTCTATGAGATGATTCTGAAAAGCTCTGGGTTCCCTGCACTTTGTGGGCCACGTGTTGTGTTTGTGCTGGAAGGGGACTTGTCAAAACTTTACAGCACAACCTGACAGACAACCCCAAGCCAGGAGCAACCCAACCCCAAACCCTAAGCACCCAAAGCCAGGAACTGAGGGCATGACTCTCATGGGAGGAGGACCACCCAAGGCCATCACCATTCAAGGTAAGACCTGTTCCTGCTCCAGCTCCCAACACAGCTTCAGCTTCCTCAGAAGTCATCAGGACTCACATTTCAGCCTCTGACAGAGATTCATAGAATCCTTTAGGTTGGAGAAGACCTCTGAGATCAGCAACCATCCACTCATCCCCACCATGCCCACTAAACACGTCCCATGCAGGGTTAAACTTCCCTCATCTCCAGCATCACCACCAGTTCCCAGCTGGGGTGGAAGCCCTGAGCACATGCAGGCAGTTAAGGTGCCCTCCCCAAAACTGGAGTGAAGGGAAAATGGGGACAGAACTGTAAAGCTATTGGGAACTATTATGCCGTAATTACAGACTGTTCGAAACAGAGCTGTGTCCTGCCTCCCCAGCCTGAACTTCATTAATTAAAGTGCTGAATGCAGAATAAATTAACTAAACCAATTTTTTGTTGTTGTTGCTATTTTATCCAGTTGCTGTATATTTTGATGGATTATGTGCCTCTGATTAATAAATATTGAACAAGTGTTAATTAATTGGATTAATTCACGGCTGATTTCTTGATCTATCTGTTACCTTTCCCTCATCTCCACACACGAGTTGTGTCCTGAAAGTTTATTCCAAGGAGTAAGGCCACAGGGCTCTGGCTGGGACAGGGGACAGGGTCACTTACCAAAAGGCAGGACGAAGAAGAAGGGGAACCAACAGAGGATGAAAACACCCACAACGATGGCAAGAGTCTTGGCTGCTTTTTTCTCCCGGGAGAACTTGAGGAGCCGCACAGAGAGGGAGCTCCTGAAGTTGTGCCCCTTGCTTCGGGTGCTGGAGAGAGGTTCCTCCAGCACGCTGCGGCAGTGGATGCGCAGCACCACCTCCATGGATTTATTCCTTTCCTTCTTGACCCCCGCCTCCAAGCTCCGGGTTGTCCTCCTGGCCACCACGTAGATCCTGAAGTACATCACCAGGATGACCATGAGGGGCAGGTAGAAGGAGAAAAGGGAAGAGAACAGGGCATAGCCTGGCTCCTCGGTGATGCTACAGATGCTCTCATCTGGTGGCGGCGGCTCCTTCCACCCCAGCAGCGGCCCAATGGAGATGACCATGGAGGAGAGCCAGACCACCACCAGGATGACCCCAGCCTTCCTCTCTGTCATGATGGTGGGATACTTGAGGGAATACTTGACACCGATATACCTGTCCACGGAGATGATGCACAAGCTCATGATGGAGGCGGAGCAGCACAGCACGTCCACCGCTGCCCAGATGTTGCAGAAGATACGGCCAAACACCCAAAAACCCAACACCTCCAAGGTGGCCGAGAAGGGCAGCACGGTGGTGCTGAGCAGCAGGTCGGCGATGGCCAGGTTGACAATGAAGTAGTTGGTTACCGTCTGCAGGTGCCGGTTGCAAGCCACAGACAGGATGACGAGGATGTTGCCCACGATGGCCGAGAGGATGAAGATAGCCAAGAAAACCCCGACGCCCACCGCCTGCACGTCCAAGGCGAATGTCAGCGTGGTGCCGTTGCCTTCGGGGGACTCCTCACCTTGCAGCCCCCAGGATCGGTTGGCACCGCTCTGGCTGCCCTGTCCCGTCCTGTTCCCACTCAAGCTGCCATTGCTCAGCTCAGGGAAAGTCATCGTAAAAAAAGTCCAGGCTCCATGGAGGGCGAGGAGAAAGCGATGCCGAGGCGCAGCCCCCCCGGCATGATCCTCGCAGCCCCCTCCACCACTCGCTCAGCACCTCACCCCCAAAAACTGGGGCAAGGTCTGCCTCCCCCGAGTCGGGATGGAGGGACGGAGTAAGGATGGAGGGATTTCCCAGCCCTCTTCACGCCGGATTGCGGTGCCCCCCTCCCCGCGACGGCCCTGCCGCCGTCCCACCGGGGGGGGCAGCGAGGACGGGGCCCCCCCGCTGCCCTCGCATACTCCGGGGCTGCGCTGGGGCAGCGGCTGAGCAGCGTTCGGTGGCTCCGTTCGCTTTCCCCGCTCGATCGAGAGAGCTCCGGGAGGGGCGAAGGGAGGGAAGGAGGGGTGGGCCGGTCCGGGGGGTGTCAGGTGGAGGAGGAGGAGGAGGAGAAGGAGGAGGCGGTGCGGCTCTACGGGGCGAGGCGAGCCCCGGGGCAGGGCAAAGCCGATAGCACAGCCCGCAGGGAGGCGAAAGGATGGGGGGAACGGGCACCCACTCGTGGAGACAGGATCTACTCGGGCGGAGGCACCCACTCGGGGCGATAGGACTCACCCGGGGGAGAAAGGAACCCCCAGGAAAGGACACGCGTGGGAGAGTGGGGAAGCATCATAGCGGGGGAGGGCAGAGGCGAGGGGAGCTGGCGCGCATTCGTGGGCATCATCAGGCACAGTTCGGGGATTCAGGCAGCGCTGGGATGCAGACACTCCGGAACGGGGCAGCACCCGGGGATCGCCGTCCCGCCGTCCGCAACCACCAGGGAGCAGCAGAGCGCAGGGATTGCCCGGCGGCACGGTCGGACATCACCCCCTCCCCCCCATCCGCCCCCTCCGGGGGTCGTTGCAGTGGTGTGGGGCTGAGGAAAGGATGTGGTACGCACTGTGCCACAGATCCGGCCTCTGCACCGCACAGAGAGGCTGTTTGGAAGGGATGGTGGGTCACCCACATCTTCAGTGTCCCATTGGGAATGTGTCCTGCAGGGTTGGCAGCACCCCCCCCAGCCTTAGCATCTCAGTAGAATGATGCCATGCAAGGCAAGAAACCCTCACCCCTCACTCCTCATCTTCAGCATCCCACTACAATCATAGAATCATAGAATCATAGAATGGTCTGGGTTGAAAAGGGCCACAATGATCACCTAGTTTCAACCCCCTGCTATGTGCAGGGTCACCAACCAGCAGACCAGGTTGCCCAGAGCCACATCCAGCCTGACCTTGAATGCCTGCAGGGATGGGGCATCCACAGCCTCCTTGGGCAACCTGTTCCAGTGCCTCACCACCCAGAACAGGGTGTGATGCCCTACAATGTTGATTGTTACCCTCCTGCTCTAGCATCACAACAGAATGGTGCCCTAAAAGCTGGAAATCCCCTTCCCTCACTCCCCATCTTCAACATCCCACCATAATGATGCCCTACAGGACTAGTAGGTCTTTCATGCCCAACACACAGGACTTCCAGCAAGCATCCTTGCCAATACTGGTCCTCCCCCCCAGCTGCTCCAGCCCAGGCATCCTGCCTGCTTTGTGAGCATGGTGCCCCTTGTTCATCCCTTGTCCCAACAGCAGAAGGGACGATTGATGTCTTGCATTCAGCAACAGCAACTCTATGTGGTTGGCAGCTCTGTGTGTGCAGCTTAACCCTGCTGCAGGACTTTGAAACAGCAATGTATGATTAAAACATATATAGGCAAGTATTTCTGGATAATTTATCAGTGTTGTGTTTTGCTGTTTTTTTTTTTGTTTTTTTTTGTTTTTTTTCCCACTGATAAAACCAAATCCTGTTTATGCTGGTTTTCTCCCAGTGACCCTACTCTTCTGTCTCCATACATTGTGATGGGGGTTGACTCCAGAGTTGGACAGGGGTTCTCTCTCAGCTGCTTTTGAATGTACACAGGAAATATTTCCTTGCAGTGTGTTTATCCATGAGTTTTCAACTTTTCTTTCTTAACAAAAATAAAATTGCATTAAAAAAAGGCTTTAAAGGGCAGTTCAAGTAGATAGTGAGGTGATTTAACTAACAGAGCAGGGCACGTCTGTTGATTCAGTGGATATGAGAGTGAACAAAAAATAATAGTACATAAATTCCCATATATTTTCCTTGACATTCACAGCAGGAAATGACACATTATTGATCTTCCTCATTTCTTTTGTGCACTTTTCTGACCCTTAAGACTTAACCCATCTTCCTAGAGCTGGGTTTTTGACCCTGCTGGGAATGAGTGCAGTAGAGCAACTGGAACACACAAGTAATCAAGAGCAAATACTGTACAAGGAAAATATTCAGCGGGATGGTTTTACTCTGCTTAAAAATAAAAAGAAAAAAGAAAAAGAGAGAATTTTAAAATGTGAATTAAAAAGAGAAGCCCAAACACTCAACACTTGAGGTCAAATTATTCGTTTTCCTTATGTTTTGATGAAAACATGTCAACCAGCAAAATGAATTACTGTTTCTTATTAGGATGCTCAACTCAGCATGGGATGATTGCAACGCATGGAATTTTGTAGCTGTATCTCTGTAGCTACAAAGATTGCTGTCTGCACAAACATATCTCAACTATTCTATGTGACACAGAGAGAAAAAGAGAATGTGCTTTTCTCCAAAGTTAAGTCTGGCCTGAGCTTCTCGTGTAAAGCATGAGGAGCTTGGTTGGAAAAGAAAGGTTCCTCCCAAAAGACATGCTAACAAATGCCAGTAGGGTGTAGATTTCATTTACCCTGAGTCTTGTCCTTCTTGGGTGAGCTTTGCTCCTCTTCTTGACCCACTGCTCTTGCCCATGTTGCTGGGACATGACCCATGAATCCTTTTGGGTTGTACTGGTGCCTTTCTCCTCCAAACAAGGGAGAGCACATCCTACACCATCACTGAAGCTCAGCAAGCGAGCATCAACTCACTGAAATCCAGCTACCTCATGGCTTTCCATCTGTCTTTTTGTTTCAGTCTAAACTGGTGCTATCACAGTTAATTTAAGCTGAGTAGGGATCCAAATCCAAGTGCTCCTGTAGGTCTACATGGAGGAACAGAAGTGCCTGAAAGGAACGCAGCTCTGTGAGACCTTGGGACGAGGCCAATCTTTTGGGTTGGAGCTGGAAGGAGGTGCAGCTTTTTTCTCCCCTTTTCATAGACTCATGGAATCATTAAGGTTGGAAAAGATTTCTAAGATCATCAGGTCCAACCGTGAACCCATCACAACCATGCCCACTTTGACATGCTGTAGTCCAACCATCAATCCATCATCCGCATGAGGACTTTGGCAGCTCTTTCCTTGCTGTATTTTGCCTTCTGTCTGGGGCTGAGTTTACCCTTGGACTTGAATTTCAGGCACAAGTAGCTCTGTGTGGCACTGTGCACGGGGCTATTTAAATAAAAGTCACATGAATCCCATGAACATGTTACGTAGTACACCATGGTAATAACATCTTGTGCCTTTGCCTTGTAAAGGGAAGGCAGTTTTTCAGTGCAGAAGACCACAGCTTAAAGCACTTTGATCCACATTTGCATGTATTCCAGATTTGCACTTGCAGTGCTGTGCCCTCAGTGCACCTTTCCTCTGCAAAGGAGAATGAGCTGCGGTGCAGCTGCCTGCAGCATCCCCTGGGTCCAGCGACTGGAGAGATGGATCCTGTTCTCATCATGCTGGAATTATAGTATTTAAGTGATTGTGGAGATGTGCATGACTTGCCATTGGCCAGCAATTCAATGATCCCCTGGGAAATGGGTCTGATCTTCATTGCCATGTCCAGCTGGAGGCTGGTGAGCTCTGCTGGCTTCTCTGATCCTCTGACCCCAGGGCTTCAAACATAATAAAAAATGGGATAGAAGTGATTGTGAGGGATGATTCAAACCTGTGCTGCTGTTTTGTTTGAAAGAAAAAAAAAAATAAAGCACTAAAATTCTCAGCTCATCTTTCACAGTATCGCTCCCTGAACTATGCTGGCCAGTGTCAGATCAACACCATTAATATCTTTTAGTGCATTTGTTAGTTTTCTGCTGTATCTGTGAATGCATCTTATTGTTTGTTTCTTTGCCTGTTTTGTTTTGTTTATTTATTTTTAATTTAATTTAATTTATTTTTTCCTTTTTGCTGTATTTCTGCAGTCCTGGTTGCCACCAATGGTCTCCAGACCACACATGGGAAGGCAATGGTGGCCCAAGCCCACTTAATAAGGACAGATTTACTTCTTCCAAACCCATCTCTTGCTCTGGGATTTTCCTCCTGCAGCAGACCCCAATGCCTCTCTATCCTCTCCAATAGAATGTCTCCCCTGATACAGCATACACTTTCTTTTTGCTGCTATTTCATGCCTTGTTGCCAGCTGATGTGAAGACTAATTTATGAACTTCTTATGAGTTTTAGTTTAATTTTTGGACGCCTGTATAGAAAAAGACAAAGGGAAAAAGAGAAAAAAATAAAAGGAAAGGAGAAGGGTAACGAAGCACATTAACTTTTCTCTGATCATCCTCATAGTGCAATGAAGGCTTGTGTTCTGAACTTGGCTGTGGTCAAGAGGAAAAGCTCTCAGGAGCAGAAATTCCTTTGGATTCCTGAATGCAAGAACAATCTTCCACCTAAAATCTTAGACATAGACTAATACAGTGAGTGGGAGCCAAGGAAAAAGACTGGGCTGTTTAGTGTAAAGAGAAAGACTCTGAACACCCTGCTAAAGCAGGTAGGATGGGCAGATAAAACAAGGAGGTAAGCCTGGTTTGCAGAGCTGATTGGAAGCGTTTGTTTTTTCAGTGGCAATGTTGATGTGTTCAAAATGAAGCATTCCATGGGGATGTTCTGCTTTGTCTTTTGGTCTTTGAAGAGCCATAGAATAAAGCTCTTTAATACCAAGAAGGACATTTTCAGATTTGTATTTCAAAATGGTTTTGGGGTGTGTGGGGGGGGAGAAGGGGAGGGAGAAATGAGCAAAATGTAAAACCAATTACTTCAGAAATGGCAGGCAGAATTAACAATTAGCAGAACACTTGCTAATGATCAGTTTAAAAAGAACAGTCACTGATGTACAGAGTAAAAATAAATAGTAGCACAAAAGATACATCAAAGCAGAACTAAATATATAAATCAAAATGCTACAGAAGGTCAAAATTGCAATGAAAGTGTTCTCT